GATTATGTTCTTTGTTGAAGTTGAAAGTTGTTGTATTATGTTAGAAAAGAGGATGAACAGATTACTTGGATTCTCTGAAAGTCGTGAATCACTATCAAATTGAAGTATTTCGATGGTACAGATCAAACACTCAATTAGATGAAATTCAGAGATACAAAATCAGAGAATGTATGTGAAATGTTCTTCTTAAGAATTTTCCAAAAAAAAGACCAAAAACGACTATATGATTCCTATCTGAAAACTGTCGCTAGACAATTACAAACTGTCATAAAAAACTACCAAACCTATCGTTAAACGGATCTCAGGGAAAAAGGGTCAACTTTCTAAAAAAAGGATTTTTGATGCATTTTTTAATATAGCAACATAGTCCAAATAAAAAATTTCCGCGCTGACCTAGCAGCTCGACCTCAGCCAGGGGCTTTGCCCCTTCAACCCCGCCAGGGGCGCTACCCCCGGACCCCGTTCGTTTAGGGGATTCGCCCCTAAATAACAGTGCACTTTGAATCTTGAAAGATTTGAACAAGTGTGCACTCTTACACCATCCTAACTTGTTCAATATTCTACAAGATCAGTTTTGGTTAACAAATTTAATCCTATTACACTTAAATAATATTGACGATATAAAATCGCCAACATATTACAGGTGCTTGACATCTTGAGAGAATGTTTATCCATAGGTTTCACATTTTTTGAATTGGATGCTTCGAAGGAAACTGTACGTAAATTTGATTTCTTTTCATTTTTAATGTCATATAAGTGAAGTCAAATATCCATAGGGTTAACAAAATTAAACTTTTCGAAGATTAATAAACGTCTGCTTTTTGTATTTATAGATGCTTGACAACTCATTTGAACAAAAGCTTCCAATTTTGACAGGGCAATATTCAATGGATCCAAAAAAAGCTTTTGGGTTAAAAGGCTGGGATGACTCACATTATCAGAGACGCCGGCAAACCTCAATAAAGCAAGCCTTTGACCGATGTTTCGGCCTTTTTTGATAAAAACATGATAATTTGGCGTATGTTTTTATAAATAATCTTTTGGGTGTATTTTAAAACCAATATTTGGTGTATTTATGATTGACATTTGGATTTTCAGGAAACAATATTTCATGATCCATATAAAGCCTTTGGAAGTTAGCCACGATGTTTTAAATCAGGTCTCATTTTTTCTGAACAAATCTATACATTGTAATAACATGATGATTTGTTGGGTGGTTATCAAAAATTCAAAATGGACATGGAACATAGCTCCGAATGATTTTTCTCTAACTTTTATATATGCATTTGTCATGTAGGTTCTTAGTGAATTCACTCATGGTAAAGATTCTAAAATGGACAGGATCTACTTGAATCCATTGAAAGCCCGAGTTTTGAACCAAAAATGATCTCCATATTTTAGAGATTGATATCCCAAATGAGTCTCTTACCGACTACATTAACAACACTTTTGGTTAAAGGGATGCCTCCAGTTTTAGATTCATGGGTAATTCTTTTCTTTAATCAAAATTATTAATTTCTTTTATTGTTGGTATATATTGATTTTGTAATAGAAACAAAAGAAAGTATGTTGTTGTTCTTTGTAATTTTCTTTTAATTATGCAGGTTACAAATTAGGAGACTCTTTAGGGACTTAAAAAGGATTTTAGCTACAACAAGATTTCAAAGGGCCTTAAAAAGGAGTTCTGCTGCAATCACACTAGTGTTCAGGACCTGAGTTAGACAAGTTTTCTATTAATTAATTCTCTTGTATCATAAATATTATACTTGGAATCTTTTTAGAGTATCTTAAGCATATTGCACTTTATTTATTTACCCATAAAAGCAATGTATTTACCCTTATTTACCCCAAATTCTTGCGAGTGTAAAGTATATTGCTATTAGCTATAATTTTTCCTTCTTTTATTTACTTTAAAAACTATGAATAATAGGAATCTACTATTTTTACTATCTGTTAAATGGAACCCCGTCCTGTTTTTCTAGTTACAAATTTAGTCCCTGTATTTCACTCACCATTGCTACTTCGGTCCAAATTCTGCCATCGTATACTGTCTTTATACTTAAAAAATTTTGATTTTAACAGTTTTAGACGAAACTGCCACTGCATACTATTTTTATAGTTAAAAAAACTTTATTATAAACAGTTTTGGACCAAACTACCCCTGCATAATGTTTTTATACTTACATTTTTTTCAAACAGTTTTGGACCAAACTGTCCTTACATACTGTTTTTATACTTAAATTTTTTCAAACAATTTTGGATCAAACTGTCCATGCATACTGTTTTTATACTTAAAAGAAAATTGATTTAACAATTTTGGGCCAAATTGCCCTTTTATACTGTTTTTATACTTTTAAAAAAAATATATTTGAACAGTTTTAGACCAAACTGCCACTGCATATTATTTTTAACTTAACAAAATTTGATTTTTATAGTTTTGGATCAAATTGCCCCTACATACTGTTATAGTTAAACAAATTGATTTTTATAGTTTTGGACCAAACTGCCCTTGCATATTGTTTTTATACTTAAAAAAAATGATTTTAACAGTGTTGGACCAAGCTAACCTTGCATACTATTTTTATAGCAAAAAATTTTGATTTTAATAGTTTTTGATCTAACTGCCCCTAAATACTGTTTTTATATTTTTAAAAAATGGTTTTAACAGTTTTGGACCAAACTGGCATTGCATACTGTTTTTATACTTAAAAATTTTATTTTAACAGTTTTGGATCAAACTGCCCCTACATGCTGTTTTTATACTTAAAAAAAATATGATTTTAACATTTTTGGACCAAGCTGCCCCTGACCATTCAAACCCATGCCAATGGTGCGTGTGACCTTCATCTAGTTGGAATAATTGTGTATTGATTGGATTGATTGACATGATTATTTTATTAAGCCATATCAAAATCGGATGGAACTAAAGAAATCCAAAAACCTCATTATTTGTTGTATAAGTTTTGAATTATTTGAGTACTTTGAAAAATAAAATAGTAAACTTTGTTTATGATTTGAATATTTGTTTGTAATTAATTCTATAAAAATTCAACAAAGTAAATAATGAAGGCCACACGTTATTGTTAATATGTTTACACATAATTTCATTGTTTTTATTTGATTTAACTGATAAACAAAACCGAAGAAACCCAAAACCAATTAAACCAAACCTCATTTAGTGTTGTTGCGGTCTTTAGAGATGCTAAAAAACATTAAACCCGAAAATGATAAACCGAACCAAATAACACATGTACAAATAATATAATCGCAAAGTCTATTTATCAATAGTACATTTTATCTTCAACCACAGAAAACGTTACCTATCTTGTGTCCATAATTAATAACATCACCTTTAGGTGACTGTTATAATTGTAAAAGAATGGTGGAGAACAACTTTTCTAAAAACATACAAACAAATACATCACATGCCTCTTATTCGAATCATGCGGTTACTGTGAGAATGAAGTATGAGCTGAAATTTGTTCCCACTATAAACGTTTCGTGGTAACGGGGTCGTCGAGGTCCTTATAATCACATACCAATTTTGGACAAGCATACAAGTTTCTTCCCAGGTTATTATGGGTCATCGAGGTCCTTATAATCACTAAACTTCAACAATCACACTTTGTCATGTGTTTGATTTAATCGTAGAATTTCTAGAAAATCGATTGTCATTTGCTTGAGTTACATAGTTTATATATAGAATTTGAACATACTGTTTGGTTCACAGTACATATGTCAAGTTCATAGTATGCATGTCAAGTTCCTAGTATGTATGTCAAGTTCAAATGTCAGGTTCCTTTTAAGTTTCTTTAACCAAATAAACATTTATTTTCCAAAATAAAAGTCTGATTTTTTAGAATTTATATTGTTTGGTTCACGTACGGAACATCGGTCCATAGAGAGGCTATTGCGAATTGATATTCCGTACTGCGAGCTCATGTAAAGTTACGAAAAAGTCTTTGTTTTTGACAGATGACATGGGCTTGCAGTATGGTAGACGAGTTGCAGTCGAGAAGGCGAAGTCCGTAGAAAACCATCTTCAGACTCATTGTTCACTTTTGGAAAAATCCGTTTTTCTGGTCTTTTTTTTTGGAATTTGGGTGTATCATTTGATTTTTATTGTCAAGATCTCATCAAAATATGATTAAATTGGGTCAAATGAGCTAATAAATACTTTGCAAACCAATCCTATTCGCATTCCCTTCGGAGTCCACTTCATTCAAGAAAGTGGATGTTTACCTAATACTTCAATCCGGCCAAATTCCACACTTTCAAAAAATCAAAGTCCATTCTAAAAAGACTTACAAGATAGGCATCGGAGTCTAAGTCCAACTAGATTCTAGAAATCAAATTACTAATCGCAATTTCAATTGAAAAGCTGCTTTTACTCACTCTCACTCAAACTGAATTCAATCAATTTTACTACGAATCTACAGTAGTTGATTGCCTTCGACCATACCGGTTGAATTCCCCACTTTCTAATGCAACAGAATTGAAAACTTAAAGTACATTCATATCCCTTAAGTTCCCTATTCAGTACCTCAAAAAATCATTCTTTTGAAACCATCCAACTAGTCAATCCTATCATACTATATTTGTACAATACCATATACGAGTGAATTCCTTATCTCACTACAATTAAGTACCAAAGGAGAGAGCTAAAGACGAAGGCCAGTAGCGGTCATTGCTCAAAGCATTGGATTAGCCAGTGTTTTGTTTTGTTTTGTTTTGTTTTTTGTTTTTTTTTTTTTTTTTCAGTTAACCTGTATAAGATTGTACAAAATATTTTATAAATAAACTTTATACCCACAATTTACTATATTATATAAGAAATTATTTAATATTTGAATTCCTATGATTTTACTCTATATATACATGAGTGTAGGCATACAAACCTTGAAATTTCAAAGCATGATCAGTACATATTTTAGAAAGACAAATGTGTGGTTTTATCGTAAAATAAGAATGTAGTTTGTTAGATGAAACGATTTGAAATCTCAAAGCATCATTTGTTTGAATTCATCAAAGTTGAGAACTCCATCACCATTGAGATCAAATCGATTAATCATACCAACACACTCATCCACACTTCTCGACTCACCGAGTCGATTCAGCATCCTGTTTAAGCTTTTCGGAGTGATGCAATCAGTCCCATCCATTTCATACATTCTGAAAGCTTTCCTCAAGTCCTCAAACTTCTCCTCTTCCTTTGCGCTTTCCATTAATCCAACAAAATCTTCAAACCCTAAATTTCCGTTGTTTCCATTTGACGATTCAACAACAACTTCAACCTCTTCGAGTAAAATCTCTTTGTTCCAGATCAATCCGACGCAGTGTTGCAGCTCTGATGGAGAGATCATACCGTTTCCATCTCTATCGAAATGATTGAATACGCGTTTGTAATCACTTGAATTCGTCATGATGCTGGAGTTCTTGTGAGTGGGTTTATGTTCTGAGTTAGATCGATTAAGAGAAATAAACTAGTAACTTATGATTTGGGGGATTGATGTTCTTGGATGAATTTGGTATGGGTTATATAGATACCCATTATACGCGTTTGTTGCCAGAAACTTTGAATGAATGTAAAAGTTTGAATTTGATGCTGAGACGATACGAAATCGAATTTTGGGTAAAATTTCGAGCGGGTTCTCAACGGATTTCATGTCTTGGGACGAAGCTGCAAGGCAATTGGGGACGATTATTTCACTACGAAACTTCAGATATTCAATACTGACATTTATTCCACAGCGCGTTTTTTTTTTTTTTTTTTTTTTTTTTCAATTCTTAGTATTTGTTTAGAATAAACCATTAGAAATATAGTATTAAGAATTCAGAAGTATATGGTTGTTTTTTTTTTTAACAGCCACATATTATAAAAAGAAATATAGCAAAAGCTAGTGAATAAAAACCAGTTGACTTTCTATATGTTGTATGTCTTGAACACTTTATAATTTTTGTAAAGAGTAAATTACATGAATGGTCCCTATGGTTTGGGGTAATTTGCACGTTTGGTCCCTAACTTATTTTTTTAACTCGGAAGGTCCTTACTGGTTGTTTTTATTACGTGTTTGGTCCTTATTGTTTGTTTTTGTTACGCGCTTGGTCCCTCTCATACCTAAAAATACTATTATTTAAAGAGGAAAAAATGATGGGGTATGTAAGGTAAGGTGAGAAGGGTGAGATTAGGGGTGTGTTTATTTAAATAAATTAAAAAATAAAGGGAAAAATAGACTTTTTATGTAAGATAGGGACCAAGAGCGTAACAAAAACAAACAGTAGGGACCTTCCGAGTTAAAAAAATAAGTTAAGGACCAAACACGCAAATTACCCTAAACCATAGGGACCATTCGTGTAATTTACTCTTTTGTAAACCCAAATAATCGTGTGGTATTGATAATAACTTCAAGCTTTTGTTTTTCTGATAGACCTGAAGCAAAGGTGGAGCCACCTTAGGACCAGGCTAGGCCCAGGCTAAGGCCCACCCTCATATTTTCATTTTTTTTTTTGGTTTTTTAAAATAAAATATAATACTTATTGATATATATGATATTTTTTCTATTTTTCATTTGGTTTTTTCAATATATATATATATATATATATATATATATATATATATATATATATATATATATATATATATATATATATATATATAAAAATTTATGAGGACCACCCTAAAAACAAAAATTTGCTTCGCCCTTGACCGGAAGGAATGGCATCCATCCAATCCAATATCTCTGCAACATTTGCAAACAAAGGAAAAGGAAGATCAAGCCACTTAGACACTTTATTCCAAATTTCCTTTGCAACATCACAACTCACAAACACATGACTACATACTTCAGTCTGAGTAGAGCACAAAAGACAAAGCATCGAGATCATGTCAACACCCTTGCAAACCAAATTATAACGAGTGGGAAGTCTATCAAGAATAGTTCTCCAAAGATGAATATTAACTTTGATAGGGACTAGCCTAC